AACTGGAGGCAGAAAATTCAAATCTGAAATCCAGATCTACTGCTCACTAACTGTATGAATGTGAACACATCACATAATTGCTATAAATTTCAGTTTTCTCACTTATAGAATGGCAATATGATCTTATAAGGGCTGCCTCAAGATGTAAAAAGATAATAGGTCACCAATAAATAGATGATCTTTCTTTCTTTTCTTTTTTTTGGTATTTCATCCTCTGACTCCACCTCTATTTGATTTTGAATGGTTATAATCCAGCTTAGAATCAGCCATCAGAAGCTCTACAATTTAAAGGTCTTGTCATGAGAAGTGGAGTACCTGATTTTGAGGATTATCCATGGCCTTTCCTCTTCTTCTTCCTTTCTGTTCATCAGTCATTTACTAAACAATAGCGCACCAGAGGGTAGGCAGAAAAACAGAGAGGACACAGTAGATTGCTTATGAAATCTTGCTAAATTGATAAATTAAGGAATAAATGAAGTAAAATCAATTAGCTGGGTTATATTTTAAGAGATAAATCAATGTGGCCAGACTATAAGACAATCATAAGAAACTTTTCAAGTGGGCAGAAAAGTAGCACTAAAACTTAATGCAAGCAAGGTTACTTTATGAAAAAAATTCCACATTTTATACATAAAATAACAGACCAGAAAAGAATCCTGAAAGTGACCTCTGATCATTTCCCAAAGACATCCTAGTTGACTGCTATAGGATAAAGCTTACGTGGTTTTGAGTATCAACAAAAAGAAAATATAATAGAAGTTATCACCCCATTCATGCAGAAGGCTGTGGAGCCATTAAGTCTAAAATATTTAGTCTAGTTCTGTTTGCTCCAACTCCAGAAAGACATAATAAAACTGGAGGGCAGCCAGAGCAAAGAAGACAAATCAGCAGGCAAGAGGAAGACTAGAAACAATAAAATTCTCAGAAAAGAGTTATAGATTCTTAGAATTGGAATTATCCTTAGAATCATGTATATTAATTCCTTATGCTTCCATAATATTCCTGATAAATCATAAATAGTTTAGTTTATTAAAGGCCTATTACATGCTGGAAACTGACTAGAATCCTTCCATTTTGGGAGTCTATGTCCAAAATTATCACCTCAAATATGTCTCAAATATATCCACTTTGCTACATCCACTGCCATCAGCTTGGCCCAAATCATCTTTCTCTCTCATGCAACAGCATCCTAACTGGTTACCCTCTTCTACTTCTGCTCCTCACAGCCATGGACCAACTCCCCAATCCATTGTAACCAGAGTAATCTTAAAACACAAATTAAGTCATGTCATTGGCTTACTTAGAATACTTCCATGATTTCCCACCTACTTTAGGATCAAGTCCAAAGTAAGAAACATGACCCTTAATGATTTGGCTCATGCTTCCTTAACTAATATCACTTCACATTGCTTTTTCCTTGGCTCACCAAAGTCTATCCATATTGGCTCTCTTTGAGTTCCTCAAAACAGCTAAATGCTTTCCCATTAGGCCCATTACATATAACAACCACAACCACCATTACAGCTAATAGTTACGAAGATTTTACTATGTGATTAGCTCTAGGCCAAGTGCTTTAAGTGAATTACCATATTTAATCCCTACAAGAAACTCTATAAGGTAGTTATTTTCATCTATTTACTGTTGATAAAACAAATATTTAAGGAAATCAAGTAGTTCTTCTAAAAAAATAGGTAAGTGGCAAAGGTGGGAAGTATGTCATATTGGACATGCCAGGAATGTTCTTTCTCCCCAGTCTTCCCTCTTCTTTATGGTTGCAACTTGTTATGTCATTTCCTTAAAATTGTCTTTTCTCATCTCCGGAACCAAATTTGGCACCCTTGTTCCTTACACTTCCTCCTATAAAATGTGTCACAGTTTATAATAATATACTTCTTTATGTGATTATTTAATTCTTGTCAAACTTCTAATAGACCATGTAAGTTTCATGAAGGCAGGGATCATATGTTCACTAAATGTGCCTAAATATAAATATCTGCTGAATAAATGACTTAACAAAGTCATCCAAACCTTATAATAATAATTTGTTGAATTACTCTATGGATGTAATTACTCTATGGACTATTAAAATATTCTTGCTGTTCTGATAATGTTTATCAACTAATCCTAACTCTGGTCTTTTGACCAATACTGAAAAAGTACATTATTTTCTCTTCTACAGCTCTTCAAATACTTTCAGCCTAGAAAGTTAAAGACAGAGAGGACTAGCAGTTAAGGTGGGATAATTCCAGTTTATTAAAAAAAAAAAAGAATGCTCAAATGAAGAAGATAAGGGGACATCTTTTGAAATCAGAGAATTATTTAGGGCATATTTATAGAAATTAATTCTTCACCTATAGTAAATGAATTTAAGGGGTATACAGACATGAAATGTAGATGGGATTGCTGTATGTGGCATACTCTACTGCAAATTGGCTTCTAATTTGTATAAATCTAGAAAAAAATAAATAAAACTGGGGAGATCCAGTTAAAGGCAATTAAATGCCTGTACAGAAAGACTGAGAAAAGTTAAATCTAGCTATGTGGTTACAAATAAACTTAGATATCACCAAATCATAAGATTGATGTGATGAAGTGCAACCATATCTTTCAATATTTCGAGAGAGTTTTGTTTTAACAGAATTCTGGATTAGATGAACTATGCTTCTAAGATTTTGAAATTAAATAAAATAACATAAAAGTTGTTACTTACCAGATCCAAAAATACTCTTTAGGCATTTTATATGTATTAATTAACTCAAAATAGCCACTAAAGTGGCTAAGATAAAAAGCCTTTATCTCCCATCTTTAATGAGAAAGATGGAATCTCAAACTTGGAAAGGTCCCTTTGTTTTGATAATTTATCTGATACTTAAAACCTCTCTATAACATTTAGGCCAAGTGGTTATTCAACTAACATTAAAATATCCCCAGTTATGTTAATTGACTTGAGGGGGGCTCATTTCACAATGTATACATGTATCAAATCATCACTTACAATTTTATTTGTCAAATATACATCAATAAAGATGGCGGGGGGAGGGGGAAATTGCCAGCATGGTATAATGCTTTGGATTTGGAGTTTGGAGCTCTGGGTTTATATCTCAATTCTGCAATTTATTAGCTATGTAACTTTAAACAGGTTGCTTATTGTGCATCAGTATCCTCATTTAAAAAACTGGAATAACAAAATGTGTCTTTTCAAATTGTTTGAGAATTAAGTAAACTGCTATAATATAACACATCACTTGGCATTATGCCTGGCACATAGCAAATAATCAATAAATGTTGATTTCCCTCCAATAACATAAATCTACTGCCTGTGTGGTCTAGTTTCTCTTTGGATAGCACTGGCAATGGGTTCTTACACTATGTGGAACTAGAGCAATACTATTAAGTAAATAACACAGGAGTTTGATAGTTGTTAAGAAAAGATTCTCTCCATTGGTATTTTAACTTTAGCTATTAATTCTAGTCCTATATATTAAAAGCCTAATATGTTAAGTGTCCAACCATTCATTCGACCATTAGACCAGTCGCTATGAGGTGCACTGACCACCAAGGGGCAGACACTCTGACTGGTAGGTTAGCTTGCTGCTGGGGTCTGGCCAATTGGGACTGGGCAAGATGGGCCAGACATGCCTGGGAGCCCTCCCCTGGTCCCTCCCCAGCTGACCAACCTCCTGCGGTCCCTCCCCAGCTGGCCCCAATCAGGACTGGGCGACATGGGCCAGACACGCCCTGGAGCCCTCCTGCAGTCCCTCCCCGGCCCCGATCTTGCTTGGGTGGGGGTCCCTCGACCTGGCCTGTGCTCTCTCGCAATTCGGGACCCCTTAGGGGATGTTGGAGAACCTGTTTCAGCCCGATCCCCACAGGCCAGGCCGAAGGACCCCACTGGGCACCAGGCCTCTAGTTTATATATATTTTTTAAGCAATTCAAAAATGGCAGCATTTAATTTCTTTGAGCAACCTTGGAGAAATGTGAGTTATAATAATTGATGAGAAGCCTTGAAAAATCCAATTGATACAAATACTCCATTGAAATTTCCCTTCTCAGTAAAAACAAGTACAAAAAGTTCACCTTCAGGTATTCAGAATTCATTGGTATGGCAATGATCTTTTAAGAGTAAATGGATCTTCTCCTTATTTTTATTAATAAGTAATGACAACAATTAAGAGTATAAGTAATGTATTGTTGTTTTACAATAAGACAAGAAAATATGATTATTTAATTACTGAAGCTTACAAAATAATTTTTAAAATTTTATTTTTATTTAAGTCATAAGATAGGTTATAAGGACTTGAATTTGCTCATTTAATCTATTAAATGGTATCACTTGCTTTGTGACAACCCAGCTCACTATGTAAATAAATTAAAAATTGCATTAATTTAACATAGTACTTTATATATGTTAAATAGGTTCATTTGTTAGAGAATATTTTAGCTAGCTTTATCCATTGTATAAAATAAAATTACTTGTAACCTATCTGATTAAAATACAACATGAATCCTCCTACTTCTGCAGTAATGTAAATTTTTAAAAGTAAAATATTTGTTGAAGAAATACATTATAATATGCATTCTACCTCATTACCTCTTGGTTCATTCCATCTTTCAAATATACAGAAAGGTATCTTCAAACTATTAGACTATTTTTATGGTTTGATAACTTGTAACTCTTTTATAATGAAAAATGTTAAGGTCAAATTTAGTTCAAAATATGATCAGAACTAAAATTAAAGACCACTTATTAGAAACAAGAATGCTCCTGAGATCATAAATATAATTTATATTTGGATGAAAATGTTAGTCACTATGTTTTCCCTTATTTCTCTCTTATAGAGTAGGTTTTATTTGTCACAGCACAAGTGAGTTTAAATTTGTGGTGGATAAGAATTTTTTGTTCTGAATTTTATAAGTACTGATCATGGCTAACGTGATTACTAAAAATGCTTACAGATAATTGAAATATAAAAGTAGGATCAGCATAAAATAAACTTACTGTTTCACCAATCTTTCCAATGTTTCCTTGATCTCCCACTTCTCCCTGTTAATAAAGAATATAAAGTTGCAAAAATGACTATTTTTCAAACAAGATTATTCATGCATTACTTATGTTTTCATTTTAATGTAATTATCTAGTTATAACATAGAAAAAGGCAAAAAGAAATCTCAGTTATTCAAAACTAGGTTGACAGTTCACTAGACAGCTTTTTTATGGAACATGACTCTATTTTCATTCAAATAGTAATAACCTATTTTCTTAAATTACATTCTTCCAGTAAGGACTTTTAATCAATTTTTAACCACTTCTACAAATAAATTTTAAAAAATAAAATATTTATTGAGGTATACTCTGCAAAAGGCAGATGGTAGGCACTGTGGAAAATGTTAAAAAGAATACAAACAAAGCCCTTGCCCACAGGAATGCTCTATTTGCTTCAGAAAATTAGGTATCTCCCAGAAGAACAGAGTATATGCCACACATAAGTAGTAAAGGGCACCATAGGAGCAGGCACACTGTGGGCTGGTGGAGCTAGAGCTGACTTCACTGGAGAAGTAATGTTATGTTTATAATCATAATTCACAGTCCCTAACGCTCTGAAAACCCAGTTTTTCACAACTTGGTGACAAACGTGTCCTAACCTGAATTTATTTGGCAGCAATCCTTTACCTGATCTGAGTCAGGCTGTTTATTATAGTGTTGATTTATTCTGATAAATCTGAACATCTTTGACAGTTTGCCACAGAAATATTCATGTGTCTAATTATGGTGTGCTGACCATAGCCTATTGGCATGTTAGGTAAAATACAGTATAATGACCACAGTATCTCTGAAAATCCAAACATTAACTATTTCAAATAATGAATTATGAAACTACATTTGAGTTGGGCCCTGAAGAAGAGGTGATATTTACACTGGTGATGAGAACAGCCATTTTTGATGGTGAGATAGGGCATGAACAAAGGCTGAACAAAGGCATAGATACATTAATGACAGGTAGAAGATCAAGTTCAGGGTGTTTCACATAGTTAATCTTACAGGAGTATATGTTTTATTTATAGAAATAGGAGAACAAATGATCAATTGCTGTCTAAAAATTAATAATTTATTACAATGTGGAATAGTAAATGGTTAAACTGCATTGAACAATACAGTAGCCACTAATATGTAGCTGCTTAGCATTTCTAACTGGCTGGTGTGAATTGAAAAATGATGTAGTAATTATAATATATAGTGTTTCAAATGCTCTTAGAACCAGTTTTAACATATCACTGGTTCTCTCATTTATTAATGAATTGAATAAAATCTTCTGACATGTGTACATTTTATAAAAGTAATAATATTATCTTTTTGAAAATTACACTTTGTAACTGGTAATAAAGTCATTTGCTTTACCTTTAAGCCTTCTGGTCCTGGTTCACCTATATATCCCTTTTGACCTGGTTTTCCCTAGAAGAGAACAGAAAAAAAAGATAACTTTAATCATTTTCATCTTTTAAAGTTTCCTAAGATTTATAAAATTCGGACTATTCTATGAGATACAATAAAATTATTTGATAATTGTATTTTATAATATACATTGCCCCTTCATTCTATAATGTCTGTCTACTATGTGCCATGCACAGTTCCAGGGGCTGGGGATTGAGGAGTGCACTAAACATACCTGCCTTCATAGAGCTTACATTTTAGTGAGGATGCATAATTTAAAAAATAAGTAAAATATATAGTATGTTAGGTAGTGGTAAATGTGAAGGACACAAAATTAAGTAAGGGAGGGAGATATAAACTGTTGTGGGAGTTTTGTTAAATTTTTAAAATAAAATTACCAGAGAAGACCTCACTGAGAAGGTGGCATTGAGTAAAGATTTGAAGAAAGGGATATATTGCGTGGATAGCAGAGAGAAGAGCATTCCAAGCAGAGGAAACGAGCATGTGCAAAGCTTGAGGCAAGAATGTGCCTGGTGTGTTGGTAAAATCATGAAGAGTCAATATGGCAGGAGCAGAATAAGAGAGAAGGTCAGTAAGAAGACAAGTCAAAGAAGGGAATGGCAGATGGGAAACCAGCTCATGTAGGGCCTGGTAGTCTCAGTAAGGACTTTAGCTTTTACTCTGAGTCAGACAGGAAGCCTTAGACAAGCTTTGAAAAGAGAAGTGCCATGATCTAAGTTTGAATAGGATCAATTTAATTCAAGAGGAGAAATGGGGAGTTCAAAGAGGAGTCTGCCGTAGACCAATTCCAGCATGTCATAATTTCAAGAGTTTCATCAAAAGGTTGATGAAACTTGGGGACTCAACAGGGTTGAGTCACACATGTAGTCACCTGTTGGAAGTGGCTAAAGGCATTTCCCCAAATCTGAATAGGAAACTGATTGTGGCTGCCAGACAGTTAAAGGGCATCTTAATCTACATGTTATTGCCTCCTACTGGCCAAACACCTGAACAGCCGTAGGCTATTCCCCCATTCTGACAATGGACTCTGTACCCTTTGAAACCTTACCCTTTGAAGTGTATTATCTCCACCTTGCCTTAGGACAAAGTGTGTTAATAAAAGCAAGGGTCCTAGACAAGGAGGGACTCTTCAGTTCCTTTAGCTGAAGGTCCTCTGACCCCCAATGACTTTCAAAATTATATTTCGTCTCCGGACTCTTTATTAGTCTCTGGATTTCTATGTCATCTACGCGCAGCCCCTTTTCCAGATTCCTGAACCCTTCTTGATGCTGGGACATGAACCCCAGTATAAATGGACGCCCGAAGTGGGACAAGAACACCAACAATAGAGTCTACTGCAATAATTCAAATGAGATATGACAATGACACAGATCAGGTAGTAACAGAGAATAAGGCTGTGAGAAGTGGCAAGATTCTGTATATAGTTTGAAGGTAGATCTTCCAGGAATTGTTGCCAGGTCATGTGTGAAAGGTGAGAAAAAGGGAAAAGTCAAAATGAACTCAAGATTTATAAATCCGAATAAGGGACCTAATAAAATGGGGAAGATTCTTGCAAGAACAGGTTTGGAGGGTAAATTGGAAGCTCAGTTATGGACATATCAGTTTGATAGTCTTTTTAAACATCTCAGTGCAGAGATCACATGGTAGTAATACAAGTCCAGAGTTCAGGGGGTAGAAGGTTCTGATCTAAACACACAATTTTGAAAATCACCAGCATTTTGATGGTTTGTAAAAGCCATAAGACTGGACCAGTTTATCTGAATATAGATAAAAAGGAGAAATACACAAATCAAGCCCTGGGACACTCCACAATTTACAATTTGAATAAATTAGACAAATATGCAAATTTTCCGCCAGAGAATCTGGAGGAAGAGCATGCAAGTGAAGAAAATGTTTCCAGAAGAAGAGACTGAGCTAATAAAATTCTGAAGACTAAGTATTGAGTAATATGAAGATTAAGAAATGACCATTGAATTCATCAACAGAGGGGTCAATGATGACCTCCATAAGATCATCTTTTGTTTTGGAGTAGTGGGGACAAGAATGGTATTAATAGATAGGGTGAGGAGGGAAATTGGAAAGAACATATATAGGCAATACCTTCGAGAAGTTTTACTGAAAGGGAAGTAGAGAAAGATAATACCTGGAAGGAAAACTGGAATCAATACAAGTTTTATTTTTGTTTTTAAGCTGGAAGAAATAATGGTATGTTTATATTCTGATAGGATTGATAGATTAGAGGGAACAAAATTATAATGCAGGAGAGAATGGGGAGAATTGCTAGATCAATGTTCTTCAATAGGCAAGAGGATAATGTATGCAATAAGCAAGAGGAAGTTTTGGCCCTTGCTAGGAAAATGGTGTGTTCGTCCACAATAACAGAAGAGAAGGCAGAGTAAATGGCATAGAGACAGGGAAGTGAATAGAAGCTATGGTAGACACTTTTGGAAGATCTCTTCTAATTACTTCAGTCTTCTCAGAGAAGTAGGATACAAGATAAAGGGCTGAGTATGAGAACAAGAAAGAAACAAAACAAGTTGAGGAAAGAGAAAGTACCCTATATAATAAAAGGATAATATGCAAATTGTCCCCTCAACTGGGAGTTCGACTGGGAGTTTGACCAGGGGGCGGGGCCGGCCTGTCAACCCCCAAGGCTCCTTCCCCCGACCAGCCCTACCCCCTATTGTCCCCCTCATCCCACATCCCCTCCCCCTGGCCAGCCCAACCTGATCAGCCCTGATGGTGGGGGTGGGGGGGGCAGGCCAGACCCTACCTGTGCATGATTTCATGCACTGGGCCTCTAGTAAAATAATAATGTAAATAAGTAAAAGTAAATGAGTATGGAAAGAGAATTCTGAATATAAACAAAGGGATAATTATAATGTTTTAAGCATGATGAGAAATGCTGTGAAGTCATGGCAGAGATAAAGAATAATGGAATGGCAATAGGGTTATTGGATTGAAATTCCTATAGGTAGTGTTGGGGTGGTTTACAAAAAAGAATATACTAGAAAGAAAGTAGATTATTGGGCAGTGAGAAGTTTGAAATGGAAAATAAGGAGAGGTGGTTGTTACTGGTAATGATGTGGTAAAGGATATGACCATAGCAGTTAGTAGCTGAAAATAGTAAAAGATAAGTTCACTGAAAGAAAGTCAATATCCCAGATATTGTGGACATTAATCTATAGTATGTGGTTTCTAATATATAATAACTGATCCTGATTATACAAGATTTGATTAAGGATATCACTATGTCTCAACTAATGTGTGTGACAAATGCAAATCTAGGACTAGAAAAAATATGGGAGGAGATTGCTAAATAGAACACTAATTTATAATATCTACTAGGCATTATAGATTTGGATTTTATTATTCCTACTCCTTAACAAATACTCTCATATTTTTCTTTCTTAAAATACAACAAACAAAACAACTCCCTGGCTCTCATTCCACTTTGACTACATCTAAAGATTTTAGCTAATTAATATTATACTTAGGACTTAGGTTGTTCTAATTTTTGCCTCTACCTTGCTTGAAATTTTCTAGTGGTTTCTCACTGAGCACAAAGTAGAATAAAGTATAAACAAATCATACTATTATTGTTAAATATCAATTGCTTTCTAATGAACTTGAAAATACAGCAGAAAAATATCATTAAGAATATAAATTATTAGATCTGTCTATGACATTTACAAAAAAATTATACTATATTTTATTCACACTATTTGGAAAAGGCTTTACTGATAATATTTCTTTCATCTGTAATAATGCGATACTCAGGCACTGCAGTATATTAAGAAATAGTTATACATCATATCTACAAAGTGAAATGACTCTCACAGGAATCTGATATTAGCACATTTACAATCTCTTTGAAATCAAGTACTTCAGGCTTGGAATCGTCACTTCTGGTCCTGTGTAAGTTCTGTCATATTAGATTTATCTTGAGCATGTTGTGCTTAAAATATGGCTGTACAACCTATGAGGGAAGGTGAGGGGGGAAGGATGAGGGGGTAAGAGAACAACAAAAGGGCTTGTGTGCATGCATATGAGCAAAACCAATGGACACAGACAGTAGCGGGGTGAGGGCATGTGCTTGGGCAAGGGGGTGGCGGGGGAGAGGTCAATGGGGAGAAAAAGGAGACTCATGTAATACTTTAAACAATAAAGAATTAAAAAAAGAATATAATATGAAGGCCTTATTTTCATATCTAAAAATGCAGACAATATCCTGCAGGGTTGTTTTTAGGATTAGAGATGATGTCACGTGATATACTCAGAGCAATACTAGCCCTAAATTGATCTTTAACCAATAGTAGCAACAATACTAATAAATATTAAGTCTGGGTAGAAAAGAGGTGAACATAGTTCCGCTGTTTTCTAGGGAAGTAAACTTTAGGATCAATTATACTGAACTTAAATAGCAATAGTGTTTTTGTTATATAACTCACCTCACAAAAAAATAAAATAAAAAATCTTTTTTTCCTCAATGGAATAGTGGCAACACACACACACACACACACACACACACACACACACACACACAC